TACCAGCACCAATCATGGAAAATGACGTTAATTAGCTGTTTCTGGCACCTATTCATCGGTACGCCTTACTCTTTTTTCTGAATCTGGCACCTAAATGCTGAGCGTAGCACCAATCTAGTAGAAAAATGAACTACTGGCTGGTAGAATCATGTTGTTCTGGTATAATGACCCCTGGAGTCTAGCCTAAAGGTTGCCAGTGCAGCTACACTCTAAGACAGCCCCGTAGTGATCTCAGCATTGTATATGACGTTTAAGTAAGCAAATAATATTGATTTGTTTGAAAAAAAACAATGTCATTTAAATATTCAAAAGCATTTATTTGTAATGCTTAAAGGGAAACATTTTTGTGAGTAATTGTCTCGATTTTGACCATTAAAACGGGTATTGTATTTTTTGACGTCATCAATTAGCTCCAAAAAAGAAATGTAATGTTTTCATTCCGTTCAAGGCCGCTGAAGAAACGCGGGATCTTGCGTGGGACATTGTCCGTTGTTTGCCGCGCCGAGGTGCCGTGGTTGTGCCTTTTTTCATCCGTTTCTTACTTATGTCATATGTGTGCATGAAGCTTTGATTTTGTTTTTGGTTATTGTGTGGCCGGTCAGTCAAACGCCCCTATAGAAACCGGATGCTGCGTTTAAACTCACCTGTTAAACTCACCTGTTAGGTTTCCACAACCTCGGCTCGTAAAGGAAGGAGTGGAAACCTATTGCGTGCAGAGACGCGCCAATTCCTTGGGTGGGCAGATGGCTGGACCTCAGGCAAGGAATTGGAATGGTGCGTCTGCATTTTGTAAAACACTGAAAAAGGAAAACTGGTGCGTGTTTTAAGTGCCAGAATCCTAGACAAGATGATCAATTATGTAAATGAGAAAAGAGGGTACCGAAATGTGATACGTTCTCGGAAGGAAAGGTAGCCTAGGTTAGTCCACCCGGTCCAGCTCGAGAAGGGCGGGCAGCAGCTACATAGGGGGTAGGGGCGGAATATGATAGGTAGCCCAGGCGCGTATAACCCCGCCCCAACTTGGGAAGGGTGGGGCGCTTACCTGGGGGGGGGGGGATGAAGGATGAGATTTGAATCGTTTGCCTTCTCCTATCCTGTGTGTTCGTACAATCTACTTCCCAGTGCGGCTTTCAGTCCCTTTTTAAACTGCACCAGGGACTCCTCGTTCACCAGCCAATCTGGGAGGGCATTCCAATCGCGCACGACTCTGTGGGTGAAAAACCGTGACCTTGCATCTATAAGACTCCGACACGTTTTTATCTTTCTACTATGCCCGCGCGTTCTGTTGTCGGCCTCCAGATCCCAGAGGATCTCCGGGGATATCTTACTGTGGCCGTGAAAAATCTTCCAGCATTTGATAATATCGGCTCGAAGGAGGCGTCCCTTCACAGAGAATAGGTCAAGTTCCTTTAGGCGATCACCATATTCCATATTGCGGAGCCCAATCACATTGCGAGTCCAGAGCCTTTGAACAGACTCTAATCTTTTGAGATCCTGTACATAGCCACTGTTCCAGATCGGTGACGCGTACTCGAGAATGGGGCGAATGTGAGATTTCAGTACATGAGTCATAAAGTCAGGCGAGCGACACCTGGTCGATTTCAAGAAATTGTGAGCAACTCCTCCAGCCTTCGCTGCTATGCTGGCACAGTGTTCATGGAATTCATCTCGTTGTCGATGATAACACCCAGGTCACTACATGACGTAACGCAGGGAATTGTGTCACCAGCCAGTGTGTATGCACCGGGCTCGAAGTCATGGAATCGTCGCCTAAATCGTATGACGGCACACTTCCTGAGGTTCATGCTTAGACCCCAAGACTCTGCCGTAGAGTGGAGCAAGTCTATATCCTTTTGTAGCGCCTCTTCACTGGTGTTGTGTTTATCGTTTGATCGGGATGGAGTCAGACGATGATTGCAGAAAGCTAATAATATTGAAAAGAGGGCCGGTTGCGTGGCATGTCTGTTCAGAGTTTACATTTTGCTTTACTCCAGTTTATGACCTGAGAGCCTGGCTGGAAGTGACGGATCCAAACTTTTCACGTTAAAATGGCTGAAGGTGCAATAATCTCTAGTCTCTATACATAGCGGGCTGGTATAGGAGCGTCTTGCTATGCTGCACCATAGCTGGCTAGTGATTCTCTTTTGGCTAGAAATGGCATTAATCATTATCTCCACTGGCGAAAATGGCACTTGACATCACCGAATGCAACGTTCATGTTTGTTAGGATACATAAAATCAGGAAGATTACGCGAATTAGGTAGGCAAACGTGGAATAAAATAGGTGCTGGATGTTTTGGTTTTGGTGCTGAATCAGCAAACAGCAAATACGGAGTTCAACTAGACGATCTGGCAACTTTAGGCTGTGTGGAAGCAATTAGGTGCCAGATTCAGATATTAGGGTCGAATAAGCATTTTGGGGCTGATCAGCAATTAGGTGCCAGAAACAGCTTTTTAGGGACCAGAAACAAATATTCCCCTTTTTTAAAGGCCTCGGTTTCCATTTTTCTTTCCCAGAGCCGTTCAGTAATATATATTGATTTCCTACATTTATTTAGAATACCATTCCTTCAATATGTAAGGGTTTTTGTAAATGGTATTTTTGTGACCTTTAGTAAAGTTGTGGCATACTTTCTGTTTGCCATTCCATTCCTAATAAAGATGCCTTTCAGAAGATATGCTACTTTAAGACCTCGCAAAAATAAAACCAACAGGACAGGACAATGAAATTGAGCTATACTTTCGGGCCTTACTGAGCCCATTGAGTAATCACGCATGAGTGTGAACTTTGGGCGCATTTTACCTAGTCTTTCTGTGGACATACAGATAAAACAATGCCATATATGAAAAATTCAGACATTTCTTAGCCCCAATGACACAAAAAATAAACAAAAATCCAAAAAAAAGATTTTTGGAATTAAGACGCGCTAGATCGGAAAAATCCCCACTGTGTAACGGTTGGGCCGATTGAATTGAAACTCGGTACCTACACAGTTAGGTCTCCATCAGATAATTCATCTGCATGTGTTAACCCGCGCCGGGCCGGTGCTCTGAGATTCCGCGCCGGGCCGCGGGGGGTGTTTGAACACCCCCCTTCTAACTCGGCTCCTGGGCCACGTAGCGACACGCGGTAAGCGGCAATCGAAAGAACGTCAAAAATAAGGACGAAAACACTTCAGTCATTTTTTGGGTCAGGTCAAAGGTCAGGTCACCAGAGGTCACCAAAGGTAAAATGTTGACTATTTCAACATTTTGGAAACTGCCAACGGCTATCTCGGGAACCGATAGAGCTACAGCGCCGCAAAAAAGCGCATTCGATAGCCCTTTTACAGACCTTTCTGAGTAATGTTCTCAGATTTGACCTCAGGTCAACAGTTTAGCCTCCAGAGGGCAAAAACTCCAAAAATAGCCGTTTTTACGGAACACGTTTTTTCGGCAATAACTTTTGACTCAAAAGAGCTATGACATTACTTTTGCCAGCATCGTGTTCCTCTCGTCGAGACGCGTCGAATGAACTATAATTTGACCTTGAAAGGTCAACTTGAAAATTTGACCTCAGGTCAAGGTCATGACCTGACCGGAAAAGGTCATGTTGCATATCAGTCGATCCGCAACGTCGAGCCGAACACATCTAAGGCGTTTTCAGCGCTCTAGCACTCCTCTATCAGAAGTTATAATCGAAAAACTGTTAGATTCTGTTCGTGACCTGAGATGACCTCGGGGACATAACGAGGGGTCACAGTTGCCATTTTCTGGTTCAGTGTGTCTATTTTACCTACATCTCGATGTTTGAGAGTGCCTAGAATAGCGTTCGTGCAAAACAGACGCTTTTCAATTTTCTCCCATTGACTTATAATGGAGAGGCCGCAAAATTGACCTGACCTTAGGTCACCGATATCATAATTCCAAGATAAACATTTTATAGATAGTGTTGCTCTAATCAATCGCTGAAAGTTTCAAGGCAATCGTTCAGTCGGTGTAGCTATGACTAGCATTCTTATTTTTTCTGAGGTGAGGTCACTTGGCGTGACCTGGTGACCTGACCTAAGGTGACCTGGGTCTGAAATTTTCACAACATGTGCGGAAAAGATGCACGAACAGGTGTGCCAAAAACGGCGGCGCTCCGCGCCGCCGTTATTTGAGATATCTGCGAAAAACCGCAAGGGGGGGAGGTGTTCAAACACCCCCCCCCCCGGCCCGGCGCGGGTTAAGGTTGGGGTGCTACAGCACGTGCGCACGTGCAGGGGGCGCTGCCAGATCTCGAGAACGGCTGGGCCGATTGCGCTCAAATTTGGTACACGGTTGGGGACCGTTAGTAGGGTGCCGTGCAAAAGTCAGTTTGAACCCCGTTTGCACGTGCGCACGTGCAGAATGCCGCTTCCAGATCTCAGGAACGGCTGGGCCGATTGCGTTCAAATTTGGCACACCGCTAGCGACCAGTTAGAAGGGTGCTTTGCACAAGCCCGTTGGAAGTACCCTCTCGCCCTTGCGCACGTGCAGGGCTCACTGTCTCGCTCGCTCGTTCTTCGCCCAAAAGGCGTTTTACTGGTTATGCTTGTTTCCAAGGGAAAATATCTCTCGGCTGTGCCGTGAGGTCGATAAAAAGCAATGGTGATTAAAAACCCCGAACTTATGACCATGAGTATATATGTCGGGTAGGAATCAGACCACAATATCGGTGAAAAAAAAAAACAAAAACAAAAACAAAATCTCGAAAAATATAGCATTAGGTGACCAATCGCTATTAATTCCATCCACCAACCTTCCTCTACCACACAGAGCAAGCCATAACCATTACAAGCCAGCATGTTTCGTAACTGGTTGCTGGAGACCATCAAAAAAAAAAAAAATATATGCAGCTTAAAAAGTCTACCATAAAGACACCGATAGGCATGAGTACCTACAGGACGTACACATACGATACACATGCACCCCGCTCCGTCCCGTGCCCGCGGCCCTCCCGGGCCTACCTGTGTCCTTTGGCCACTGTCGCGGCTCACCTGAAGTGCTGGCTGGTGATGTGCGCGCCCTGTGGCGCCGCCGAGGCCGGCAGCGGCGGCGGCAGCACCTCGAAGCCCAGCACCTCCGGGCCCAGGTCCAGCATGGCCGGCACCACGGTGCGCAGGCTCATCAGCTTCTCCGGCATCATCATCTGGGGAGGGTGAAGGGGCAGGCCGGGTGGTCAAACTGGTCAGTCGGGAATGGAGGGCAGGAAAGAGTACGGTTGATGACGTGACGGCAAATTATATAAGCTGATAGCGTGACGGACAGTCTTGGACATGAGAGTGAAACAACGCGTTATCTAAATCCCCAAAGTCGGCCACTTGTTATAAGATCTCTGCACTTGAACAAAATTAACTAGCAAGTCACCAGACTCCAGCTCCAGCCACGTGTCCTACCTTCGTTCCCATATGCAGCAGCCGTTTGCCAGCCTTGAAGTAGATGGTATCCGACCTGTTGTAGGCCATGGCGTTGGTGCACATCAGACGAAAGTCGTTCTGGCAAGGGACGATAAAAAAGTCAACACCGACACTGAGTTAATCACAGGAAGGCGCATCGGGACAAGTCGACCGTAGAAATGCGCGAAAAAGGTATTCCGATAAGGCAGATATCCACTTTTCCTGCTAGGGGAATAGGAATTACAAGAGAACTATGAACTCCCTAGTCCCTAGGCCTAGAATTGACTACGAGTCACACATTGATAATGAATAAAAAATTACACTACCTTCAGTTATCTGAAAGAAAGATCCGTGCGAAGGAGTAATCAATGTCTGAAACATCGTTAGCAAGGAATATTCGCGAAATGACCGTGGAATATCACCTCAAAACCAGTGAAAAACATTTCCCTCTCCGCCACCCCGTTCTCACCTGGAACTCGGCCACTGTGGCGTACATGTTGGCCTGCACCTTCTCGCGCATGGTGCTGAAGTCCATCGGGTGGCGGATCACGTTCGAGTAGCCGGGCGCCTGCAGGTCCGTCACCGGCGCGCGGAAGAACCGCTGGGTGTCTCGCTTCTCCAGACCCCGCAACAGGTACTCGAGGAACTTCTGCAGCGAGTTCTTCGGCGGCTGGAGGTCCTGCTGAGGGTGATCGGCGGGGTAGCCGGGGTGGTAGGGCGCCGCCTCGGACGCGTCGTACGGTGCTGAGCTGTGGCCCTCGGAGGGGTAAGCACTGTCCGACTGGGCGCCGCGGTGAGGAGGCTCATACGGCGGCTCGTCCGGTGTTCGGTTGCGATCGTACCCCGGACTGAGCCCGTGCCCCTGGCTCCGGTCGTATCCGTGACCTGACGAGTGTCTGCGCGCGCGACTGTGAATGAGTTCATGATCGCGGCCGGCGGAGTGACTGCGGCCAAGCCCGTCCTCTGGACCGGGCTCATATCCGCGCGGTCCCACCTCTGCTGTGTCATCGTACCCCGGCTCGAGCTCGCCCTCCTGATCGTCGCTCGGTGGCAGCTCCCGCTCCATCTGGTGGTCCTCTCCGTGCCGGGGCTCGCTGCTGTGTCTGTGAGCGGACGGGTGGCTGGAGGCCGGCTCCGACAGCGGGCCCGGCGGCCGCCACAGGTCCGTCTCGGCGGCCGGCGCCGGCGGCGGCACGGAGGCCGGCTCCGGGGACGAGGCGGTGCTCTGGCTGAACGGCTCTGTGCTGGAGCTCAGGCGGGAGGCCGAGTCCTCCGTGCTGGCCGGGTGGACCGACTCGGCGTGACGACGCTCCTGGCAACGGAGAAAACGACAGCGGTCAGTTAGCTGACGTACTTCTATCTACCAGCCAGTAGTCACATTCACTCATACCGAATGATCGGTGGCTTGATGAGAAGCCGGCAGCAGCATATCGTTTACAGGAATTCTCGACGATTTTTCAAGGAAGCGATTGGCAGCAGCAAACCAGCGGAAAGTAGCAAAGTTACCGGAAGGCATCTGTCTGTCACGGTCACCGTTCGTCTCTCAAGCTTTCACACTGGAGACGAGCCCGCAATGTTTATATACTTTTAAGCATGACCTTTGCCTGGTATCAACCCCTTTATATCGAGAAATGTTGGGTTAAACTGAATAGCAGCTGCTCTAGAGATGATACAGACAGCCTCGAACACAGTCCTCACCTTCTTGGACCTGTGCCTCTCGCGATGTTCGCGGTCGCGATCCTTGTCTTTTTTCTTTTTCTTCTTGTGCTTCTTCTCCTTGCGATGCGTCTCGGCCTCCGTGATGGCGGCCATGCTGAGTCGGAGCGGCGCCACCACGGACGGCGGCGGCGTGGCCGGGCTCGGCTCGTGCTCCGGCGTGACGCCTACCTTCAGTACCAGGCGCAGCCCCGAGCTGGGCCCGGCCAGCGGACGGCCGCCCGGCAGATCTGCTGACCGAAACGGCGGCCAGTCAGCAGGACGTGGGGGTGTGTGACCCTAATGACATCTATGATGTAACCTAAAACGTTTTCTCACAGCAAAATAAATAACATTGGTTTCAAGCATTATGTAAGCTTAAATATCTAGAGTTCCTACACTTCAAGGGCTACATAACTACCTACCTAACAAGCAATGACAAGATCTGCTTTGGGTGCATTCATCACCCAATTGCCCCGTTCATTATACACCATTTCAGTAATATCATATTTTAGTTTTGTCAACACCCCAATTGGATATTTGAAACAATATCTTGTAAGTCATTTAAACATTAGATACTGTCTACTGAGCAAGGTCTTACCTTCATATGTCTCTCTTCTATCAGATTTGTGCCTCTTATGCTTCTTCTCCTTACCCATCTTTACAAGGCCTGCAGGTTAAAACATAAGTTTAGACTTTCAGTGAATTGTTGACAGGTTTTGCAAATGGATTACCAAAGACATCCTAGCAATGAAATTGCCAAATGAAATTGACAACAAATATGAGGCATTTAATTCATTTGAATTACAGTAGGGACAAAGATTATTAACTGTGAAAAAGAAAAAAAAGACTGTTTCCACATAATAGCATTTACATAGGGTTTGTTGCAAGCTTATATCTCTGTACGTGATGTTGCAAAAGATGCCAATGGTGCTTAACAATTTACAAAATGATCCCCTCTAAATATTTGAAGACCACTGCAACAAAATTATCGCCATGTTAACGAGCTAGAGCCTCGTGAAATATGCTATGTTAACTGGGATAATGTGTGCATAATAATTGGTACAACTGAAAAGAAAAAAGGCTAAACAATGTTCAAAAATAGTCTTATACATAGTCATAATATATGGTTGAATCTTAAATTCACAATGATATTGACCATAGGCCATCATCAGATTGAAAAATGAAATTCAATTTTCTTTGTGAATCTGATGAGAAAGGAGGAAGAAAAAGGAAATACCTACAATTCCTCCTTGAAATCTGATGAGGACAATCAGAGGATCCTCCAGCTCAACTCAAGGTATATAAAAACGGTATCTTGTATAAAAACACTCTTCAGCTCCAGCTGATGTTTTTTCCGTTCATTTGAAATATTAATATCTGTGTCCTGTGAGTTCCAAAACGAACGAATGGTTCCAGCCAAAGCTATGTAAACCGTTCCACAGCCAAGGCTATAACTTAAATAGTGAAGAGGAAAATGTATTTGTTCGGGAACTCAGGCTGAAAGTGCAGCAATTTTATTGATCACGTATAAGCTACTCGCCAGTTTAGTATTCTCGAAGGTCATTGGTGGAGAATCGCCTATGACGTCATGGATTCACCAGTTATTGAGTTCATACTAGTGCTTATGCTTGTTACCATGGAAACTAATACTGCAGTTTCTGCTCTTGAACAAATAAATAAGCATTTCAACATGGACGCCCGCATGGTGCATGTGGGTGACGTAGACGGGGAGATTAAAAATGGAGTTAAAAAGAAGGTTGGAGTGCTTTACCTTGCATCTATACCACCTATGATGACAGTTACGAAGTTGAGAGAATATTTCAACTCCTACAGTGGTGGCAAAGTTGGAAGATTGTTTCTACAAGAGAGTGAGTACCAATGTGGCGCAACAATGCTGTCATATTCCAGTGAAAACTGTATTTTTTAGTGTTCCTGAGTACACTGCAATGATCAATGCATAGGCGGCGGAACGGGGAGGACACCGGGGCACCGTGCCTCCTTTGATTTTGGCATTTTAACATTAGCCCTTTCTGTATTGCATGAAAAGCATGGGACCAAAAGTCAGCAGTGACCCCCTTAATTGAAGGTTTTCTGCCGCTACTGGGCAAATGGGACAGTCTGGTCAATTATTAACTACCTCATCCATTAGCTTTTAGTTACAACTTGGCTTCCAGGTTTTAAATGGCCTGTCTCGGTGATGCTGGTACCTTTGTTGATGTGGCCCTGTGACTGGCTGCCCAAAAACTTAATTCAAATTCAAATTTTCTTAGCCGTTGCATTGTTAAGTTATTAAATACTCTCCCTTAAGATACCAGGTATGAACACCAAAGCAGCAAATATTTATTTTTGGTTATATCAATATTCTCCCCTTCTACCTCCACATCTTCTGTTCTTGTTCTGAAAGTTAATGTGTTTTGATGTGGTCTGCCACCCAATGTGCTGTTGTAAGCCTTCTCTAGTAATTGGACCTGTTGGGTCCTCGCCCACAGCTTTTGGTCATCTGTCCTGTAACTCTTCTAATTCATAGTTGCATGGGATTTTAATAAATGAAGTGTGTTTAAATACATCAGGAGCAGGACTATGTTGCAAGATTCTCTGTCAATATCAAGCATAAATCAAGTATGTTTCCACCAGGCTGCTCAACATCAAATAACTGTTAAAAGTATCTTTCCCTTACTTGGTGGTATTATTTCTTTAAATAGGTACCTAGGAGCTTACTTTAATTCAGCATACTGTTGCCTGATGATTTGGATTGCATCACTTAATATGGGATTTACAATGACTCGGGTTCTTGTAAATGGATGGCTGCTTCATTTTACTTTATTTTTATCTTCCCTTGTAGAAAGTAAAAAGATGAAGAAGCAGAAGGCTGGTCAAAGACTTTACACTGAAGGCTGGGTTGAAATTCTCAGCAAGAAAACTGCCAAGGAAATCGCTCACTACATGAACAATCAGCCCATTGGTGGGAGCAAGAAGAGCAAGTGGTTTGACTACATATGGAATATCAAGTATCTGCCTGGGTGAGTTCTCCCCTTTCATCTATATATGCTATATATGTTGTTCGCTTGATTTTTAAGTCATTTTTTTCTTTTTATGATATAAGACATCTTCAGAGCTACATGCCAATGACTGTTCAGATATGATGTGATTGTCTTTTAGTTCAATAGGTTTACTCAATCACTTACTATTAGGCATTGGTCTTAGCTCCTACTTCACTATTATTAGCTCATCAATTGCACAGCACATATTTGCCCATTGCCCCAGCTGACTGAGTTCAACCTTCCACCTGCCAATCGCCAGCTTCAAGTGGGCGCACCTGAACGAGCGGCTGCGGTTCGAGCGCGCCGTGCGCCAGGACCGGCTGCGCACCGAGGTGGCGCTGGCCAAAAAGGAGGCCAACTTCTACCTGGAGAACGTGGAGCGCTCGGAGCGGCAGGCGCAGCGCCGCCAGCGGCTCGAGGCGGCCGGCAAGGAGGCGGCGGCGGCGCCGTCCGGCCGGCCGGGCCTGCCGTTCACCCAGCGCCTCACCACCGCCGAGATCCTGCGCCAGAAAGGCCTGACCGAGGGCCGCGAGGACCGGCTCGGCGCCATGCGCGCCGTCGGACTGTTTGGCAACAAGCACGCGCCGCCTGATGACGAGGAGGGCGAGTGATGAGTACAAAATGGTGGGCTGTGGGAGGGGAGGAAGCCGCTATATGTGGGGAAGGGGACGTGTGAGGGGGAGGTCATGTGCGTTTGAATATTTACTGTGTGACATTGGATAGCGTGATCTGCGGAAGTGTCAGGACTTTGTTCGTCGTCATGCTATTCGAGTACGAGTACGCCCGGCCGTGCGCCCATGATTTGTTTCACTTAGTGTTAGCTACTGCCATGGAGAAAGAACAATATTATGGATGAAAGTTTGTATTATATTCGGTATTTCCTTTCGTATAACGTAAATGTTTCATCCAAACTAACAGGATTCCTCCTGCTTTTACGTAAAAGCAATAAAGCATTGCTTTGTCTGTGTGAAGGGTTTTCTTTGACTGGTGCTCAACACAGAGAGACACATTGCCACATTGAATAAGTTTTTTCCGATACTGGCATCTGTTTATTCAATTCATGCTTATTTGATCGTTTATCTCAACATCCAGGCATACGAATAACCAACACTGATCGCTAATAAATACCGCACGCATTCATAGCAACAATATAAGCAATCACGATCAAGATAAGCAATCACGATATGCATTGAGAACATCGATATAACACACTTATTTACACTAAAAACTACAAATCGCGTCAGTTCTGGGTACGTGGTCAAGGAACCATCACGTCTGACGTACGTCCCACAAACACGTCAGTCAATGACGTCATAAAACACGTCAACCAGTGACGTCTCCCGCTCGTCAGACGCCGAGAATGCCGAGGGATATCCTCCGGAGCGGGCTTATCGCAGTGTGGTTCCCCGCTGTCTCGGCCATAAAAATACCGCGCTGGGGAACTGAGCGCAGTGGAGCAGGCCCGGTACGCAGGCTCGACAAATACTCTGGTTAGTTGTGCATGTGACGCTATACGGTGGTTTGATCTGAATTGACTTTACTTATCGCTCTACGAGTACAAAACCGCGAAGCCTAAGTCGGGATTATGTATGAAATTGGTCTGTGCGTCTAAGGAACTAGTTTGCTTGTTTTACCGGCCTTCTAGTCTAGCTTTGGTACAAGCCTAGGTTTGATGTTTCCTTACTAATTGGCACAGCGCACTCTTTGTCTGCCTGTGATGTGCAAGTCGGACTAGCCTCTCCAGTCTCGGTTCTTATTTCCAATACCAGAAATTGGTTCGTTTTTTTTGGGGGGGGAGGGATTGGGAGGTTTCGAGGTCCTCCGTGGTCATGATGCTGATCTACAGAATTTCAGTAAGTAAAACCGTGAAAAACACACATCGCCAGTCCTAATTACTCGGTGCCTCACAGCACATTCAGGCGCTGTCCGTCTTCTATGCTTGTAACGCCCTTCCATCGCCTACCAGTCCATCGCACCTCGCGCCCGGGCGGCTGCGGTTCACGCTCTGGCCACCAGGCGGCGCGCGGGTGGCGCCCTCTCAGTGCCGCCGGGGCCTCTCGTCGCCATGGTGATGGTGACGGTGGTGGTGGTGGTGATGGTGCCGCCGCTTGTCTCCGCCGCTGCGGAACATGTGCGACACGTCTGCCACGGCCACCTCGGCGCTGTCCCGGTAGCCCTGCGAGCTGGAGCGGCGGCCGGCCGGCCGGCCGTGCGCCCAGCCGCCGCCGCCACCGCGCCGCGAGTGCCGACTCAGGCCGTGACTCTCCGAGTCAGTCGAGTAGCTGGAGGAGATATAGTGGTGTCGCCGCGTGCCCGAGCGCCGCCGGGAGCGCTGCTGCGTCCTGCGGGCACAGCGAGCAGCGTCAGAACGGCGCGATTGCACGATTGTAACTCCATACGAGATCAGAACCAGCCACAGCCGCCTACGGTCACAGTTACACAAGGAGCCCATTGGGTTGCGCTCGTGCGCCATGTCCAATGCTGCCAGGTGCACAGTACCCACCTCCTGACGATGATAACGATGGAAGTGAGCACGGCCGTGAGGAACACGAACCCTCCGAACACACCCAGCGCGATGATCCCGCCTGCGGAGCACCGGAGCCGACTGTCAGAGCGACTGGGACGGGAGCGAGCCCAGGCGCACGGTGGCGCGAAGCGCACGGTGGCGCGAAAAAATCACTGAGGGGCGCATTTGGAGAGGGGTCTTTGATGCTGATTATAGTCACGATATGAATTGTTAACTCTTCTTTGGTAGCAGCTCTTCAAGTCCATATTTTATGTTCATTTAGAAACTCGCAAGGGGGAGGGTTTGCATATTTTCCGGTAGTTGTTATTCAATTACAGTCTAATTCAACATCAAACATTTACCACTTTCCTCCCTAATCCCTCCCAGCTCTCTCCCTGTCCACCCCTGCAGCACTCACTGAGGTTGAGTCGCGGCGTGGCGGCGTCCGTCGCTCCCCGCGGCTCCCTCTCGTCCTCGCCGACGTCAGGCAGGCGGACGCCGGGCCGCGAGTTCTGGCGCACGCTGACCGTGTCCGGCTCACGGCCCTCCTCGGGCCGGTCGTAGGCGTCCGGCTCGCGGGCGTCGGTGGGCGCCGGTCCGGGCACCGCCGGGCGCCCCGTGCTGGTGGGCGCCGCTGCTGCGACAGGCGGCGGCTCAGAGGGACGCGCAGGGACCGGGGGCGAGGGCCGCGGAGGGGCTGAGGGCGTGGGTGCCGGGGTGGGCTGCAGGGACGGGGTCGTAGGAGAGGGAGTCTGCGGTGGTGGTGGTGGCTGGGTGGGCGGCGGCGGCGGCTCGGACGGCGGCACGGAGGTCCGCGCCGGCTCCCAGACTATCGTGGGCGGGACCAGATCGGCGCGCACGCTGCGGTCGATGGACTCTGTATCAATGTACTTGGCGTCCTCCGAGTCGTACTGTACCGCGGGGTCCACAGAGAGATCCGCGGCTCCGTCACCGTCAGCCGGCGGCGGCAGGCGGACGGGGCGGAACGGGGCCGGACTGACACCCTCGGCCTGTGAGCCGTCCGACTGGGCCGGCTGCAGGTCCGGCCAGAAGGACGGCGGCATCAGCGTGAACTGCACGTCCGGCACTCGGCTAGACGCCGTCTCTGGGTCGCTCTCAGTGGGAGCGGAGACCGGTCCTCGCGGTCGGCTGGGTGCCCTCTCAGGGACCCGCTCAGGGGAGGCCGGAGGCCGCGGCTCCACGGGTGACACCCGCTCAATGGGCGTCCTCTCAGTGACCACTAGCTCCTCCGAGTGGAGCGTCTTTCTCCGATTCGCCTGCCGGTCGCCGGCGGCGAACTCGGAGGCTGCGATATCAGCGAGTGAAATGGGTCTGAACCGTCTCCGGAGACCGTACAGTCCGTCGTCAGCCAGTACCGGTAGGTCAGCCCGACTCGTCACCGGCCGGTAGCGGCTCCGGTGACTGGGGTAAGGATCGCTCTGCGGTGGCTCAGCGGACTCCGCTGGCCGTCTGGGGAGCTCCTCAGGAGCAGCCACCCTGAAGAAGCCCCCGGGGGTGACGGCAGGGGTCGGCCGCGGGCGGTCGCGGTCAAACGCAGGCCTGGTCGGCGGGTCACCGGCGCCGGGCCGTGACGGGAGGTCGGAGACCGAGATGGTCACTCGCGGTGGTCTCGGGGACCAGGCGGGCGTCTTTTCTGACCAGTCATCCCCTGAGAGGACAGGTCGAGAGGTTGCCGCCGAGTGGCCCGCGCTGTTCCACGGGGTGAACTGGGAGGGCCGGGTGGGCAGCGGCCGGCCGCGGCGGTGCGGGTCGGTCGGCAGCGGCGGGGGCGCCGACGAGCCGCTCTTGGGCGCCGGCCGGTAGTGGATGGAGATGTCGAACGCCGGCGCGCTGCTGCCCTCTGTCGGCTGGTAGGCGAACGAGAGGTCGGTGGCGGCCGCTAGGTGAGCGGCTGCCGTCTCACTGGCGTACTCGCGCTCTGTGGTGGCCACCGCGTCGGCCGGGCCCGTGGCGTTCCCTCTCGGGCCGAGCGGAATCTCGTCTATCCGTGCCTCTATCCCCGAGTCCGGCTGCTGTACGGGCTGACTGGGGTCCCCGTGGTCTCCCTGTTCCTCCCCAGCCGGCCCCGCTCCGCCAGCCGCCTGTTCCGGGTGTCCCCCGGGCCCCAGCAGGTCCGCCCCAGTGCCCAGCAGTTCCAGCAGACCCCCCAGGTCTATGGTGTGCTCCTCGTGAATCTCCGAGGCCGATGCTGCCAGCGCCTCGTCCAGAAATGAGAGGTCAAACGGCGCGGCCGTGGCCGCGGTGGTCGAACTGGCGTCAGGCACTGAAAGTCCAGACAAAGAGAAGAGTGAGCGTCGAGTAAGATAAAGTCCAGCCTTTCGGTCAATCAGTTGAGAGAAGAAGCTAAATACGTGACGAACATTGCTAGATAAAAGCAAAAACTCAGTCACAAGACAGCAAAATGCTAAGGAATACTTAACACGTCATGCAGATCTTACCACGATGTAGTTCTGTTTACCTACTGTAATTTCAATGATGACATTCATACGAGCACAACAAAGTCGATGTTCAAGCATATTTCAGGGCAACAGATTGTACAGTACAATGCTGAAGGAATAATGTTAGTGAAACTGAAGAGGGTACAGTAAACGTGAAGACTGAAAAGGTTTGAAGCAACGGGACAGAACGCTGGAAGTCATGCACTTTGCAAGCCATGCTGATGTAGGTGTCTTCGTTAGGTACCTACCGCTTTTCAAGTTTCGATGAAACAACTCTAAATTTTGAGTCACTCTCCCATTCAAATTAGATATAGTCCATCCAAGTTGCTTCCCTTTTCAGGATTGTATGGAAGGATAGTGCTGGATATTCCGGACCATGGTCATGTGCGAACATTTATTCATCTGCACCAATTCAAGGCATTATGACTTTATGCTATGCAACCACTGATTTAATCAAATAGGAGTATCGTGTCTTTTATGTGTACCATTCGTCAGAAAATGTCTAAATAGGGACCGCGGGTTAGTTTCTGTATATAGATGAGTTGTCCCCCTGAAACGTTGAATCATCTCATTATTTATATTGTTCGCATTTGCGTCTTATTTATCCGGTTCCTGCGCCCCCGGTGGTTCGGCTGGCGGCCGGTAGGTGTCTCTGCCTCACCTCGGCACACGGGCGGCTCGCTGTCGTACTGTCCGTTGGCGCCACAGCGGAGCAGCGCCGGTCCGACCAGCTCAAACCGCTCGTCCAGGCAGTGGTACTCGACCACGGAGCCCACCGTCGTGGCGTTGCTCAGACTCCGGAAACCGCCGTTCAGGATCGCGGGCGGCGCTCCGCAGCGAATGGCTGCCGGAGGTTAATCAGAGGTCAGAGGTCACACTTAGACAATAGAAACGCCAAACGATGTCAGTCGTGGGTGTTGGTAGTCTGAGCCCGTCTTATTCCGCAAATATCTTACGGAGTCAAAATTCAGACCCAGGTCCTCCATTTCAAACACCGTCCCTTCAACAGCCCGTGAAGGGACCTGCCAGGGTAGGTCTCCCACCTACCCTGGCAGTGGCCAGTCCCTCTAACAGCGGCCCGTCCGTCCCACCTACCCTGGCAGTGGCCGGTCCCTCTAACAGCGGCCCGTCCCACCTACCCTGGCAGTGACCGGTCCCTCTAACAGCGGCCCGTCCCACCTACCCTGGCAGTGGCCGGTCCCTCTTACAGCCGGCCCGTCCCACCTACCCTGGCAGTGGCCGGTCCCTCTAACAGCGGCCCGTCCCACCTACCCTGGCAGTGGCCGGTCCCTCTAACAGCGGCCCGTCCCACCTACCCTGGCAGTGGCCGGTCCCTCTAACAGCGGCCCGTCCCGCCTACCCTGGCAGTGGCCGGTCCCTCTAACGGCGGCCCGTCCCACCTACCCTGGCAGTGGCCGGTCCCTCTAACAGCGGCCCGTCCACCTACCCTGGCAGTGGCCGGTCCCTCTAACAGCGGCCCGTCCACCTACCCTGGCAGTGGCCGGTCCCTCTAACAGCGGCCCGTTCCTCCTACCCTGGCAGCGCGGCGGCGGTCCATCCCACCTAACCTGGCAGTGGTCCGGCCCACCTACCCTGGCAGCGCGGCGGCGGCCCGTTCCACCGCTCGTCCACGTCACAGATCAGCTCGGCGCGTCCCACCAGCGTGTAGCCCGGCTCGCAGCTGTACACCACGGTGGACAGGTACGCCCGGCTGCCGTTCTGGAACCGGTACGAGCCGTGCTCTATGTCGGCCGGCAGACCGCACTGCAGACCTGCGGCGGTGGAGAGTGAGGGGAGGTCAGGTTTGGTGAGCACTGCGGACCTTCGGTGGTAGGGGAGAGGAGCTCATTGGCTGTGATGAATGTCAGCAGCGTCAGGGAGGAAGTCGACTCTCACGTAAAGAGACGACAGTAACTATCCTACAGACGACGTGATATGTAAGGCTTTTGATAACGGACAAATGACTACAAAAGTTCTTGGATGTTTCAGATTGATGCCTCTCAGTTTGACCACTGAAGCTGGCTGGCAGGTTATTAGGGGAGAGTGGGGAAAGATGCCCAGGGTTTTGCTATGTCATATATTATTCGAAAATGACGATCGGAAAGCAAAAACTGAGTTTCAACGGAAGCCGACATCATTTTTCTCGAAAAATATCACACTTTCGTGCCTGAAATATGATAACTTTTTTTGCTATTAAGCATTTTCCTGAAGAAGTGAAAGGGGGCATCTTACCCCACAGGGTGGGAAAGACGCCCCCTGGGGTTGGGGAAGATGCCCCCTGCACTATAAGTGACATAAATGGGCACGTGAATCGCCTGAACGAATCAGTAGTCCCTTCGAGCCTGCAGTAGACACCAAACGTCATCGTAAGGGTCCTCAAAAGCAGTCGTAAGGGGCTTCAGAGGTCATCGTTAGGGCCATCATAGTCCAGCGCGGCCAAACAAGCCTCCGTGGTGGCGTTCGGAGACCACTGTGGGGCCCTTATAGGTCTTCATGATTCTTGAGGGCCCTCGAGCCCATCGTGGGGACCTCAGATGCCAGCGCGGCCCGTGGAGCCAACGTGGGAGCCCTCAAAGGATGTCGTGAGGGGCCCTGGAGCCAATAATGGGGCCCACAGAGGCCGTCGTGAGGGCTCTCAGAGTCAGATGCCGCCCAAAAAGTCGCTGTGTGGGCCGAAAGACCGGCATGGGGAGCACCCGAACGTACTGGACTCTCAATAGTCCCATATCGGCTTTTGTCTCTCATCACAAGTATGTAATAAATGATTTGACGGGCTGATTGAAGGACAGCCTACGGATTTAGGGGGACGTCTTTCCCCATCAGGACAGGGGGCATCTTACCCCAAGGTACCGAAGTAACATTAAATCAGTACAATTTGTTAGCCATAAAACTACACCCTGAAATAAACTGTTTGGGACAGAGTACACGCATGTTAATGTATCACGACTATAGCAAGGGACGCAAAAATTATCTATCTTCTTTGATATTTACAATGTTTTGACACCAAAATATTTTTTGAAAGCAGCAAATAAAAAACATACAATCACCAGCCAGCCGTTGCCCAACTGAGCTTCGCAAATTTTTGTGCAGTTAACAAGGCAGGCTTTCGCTTTACGCTAAGAACATTAATTTCCAGGTTCGATACTTTGTTTCCCCGCTAGAGGGGGTGGGGCGTCTTTCCCACCCTGGGCATCTTACCCCACTCTCCCCTATTTACAAATTTTCCCCACTACAAATACTGACGTTAGCAGGACGTGGGCTCTGTTATATTATACTGACGTTTGCAGGTGGGCGGGTAGCCGCTGTAGAAGCCCGTCGGCAGACACTCGCGCTCCTCGGGTCCCACCAGCAGGTGCCCGGGCTCACAGCGGTAGGTGACACGGGCGCCCGTACCGAACTCCGTCCCGGTCATCACAGAGTCAGGCGGCTGCTCCGGCCGGCCGCAGGTCACCGGCTCTGTAAACGGGGTCAGATGGTCAGCAGGCGTGGACGGGGGTTGGCAGAGTCGATAGGGGGCCATCGGAAAAGTACGGAGGTCTGTGAAGTAGTTAGAGATCATCGAGGTCATCAGGGGTCAGTGGAAGTCAGCAATGATGAAAAGGGTTAGTCCGGATGGCAGAGTTAGGTAGGTGTCTAAAATGACCGGAAACACCAGTGGTTATAAAATAGGATAATGGATAAGGTCAATCCACTTACCGATTCGCACGGCATACCTTTTAGCTAGGTTGGATGTCGAAATCGTCCTTTCGTCGCTAATATTTCCAGCTCCTAGCCACACTGACGATCATAACCCGGCAACTTCGCCACTCACCGTTCTGGCAGACGAAGTTGAGCCGCTGTCGGCAGTCGGCCGCCGACCACAGCCAGTCCTTGGTGGCGTCCATCCGCGCGCAGTCGCCGGCCGCCACCCGCTCGGGCACGCTCCAGAAGCTGACGGTGACCTGCTGGCCGGTGATCCAGGTCCAGATGGAGGGCCGGTGCGGGTCCCGCACGGCGCCCAGCCAGTACTGGCCCTCCGGCTCACTCCTGCAGCGGGCAGACGGTGACCGGCGCGGTCAGAGGTGGACGACGGGGGAGGCGCCGGAGCGGGAGGACAGGATTTCACAGCTCTTAATCGAATCAATAATCACAATCATGAGTCACTTGCGTGGCTTCTTTGTGATGTCTTATTTGTAGAGGGGGGCGAAGGGACGTTGGCGCTGCGACAGACCAGCAGAGGGCCGTGCTCACCTGTGCCGCCTCCAGAGCTCCCAGCTGAGGAAGCCCTGCAGCGCCGGGCTGGTCTCCGCTATCAGGGTACCCTCCCGGGCTGCGCAGAACTCCTGGGCGCGCCCGAAGCTGCGCGGCTGCTGGTTGTAGAACGAGTAACAGCGGCCGTTGTAGGTGGCGCTGGCTCCCAGAGGCTGGTCACGGAACTGCGGGCACCGCTCCACCGGCAGCGCCTACCAGGGGGGGGGGGGGTCGCTCAGGTCAGCGTCGTGTCAGAGGGTGGCCTTAGGGTACAGCTGGCAAGAGTAAGCAGGTCAGGTTAAGTACAGCAAGCGTTCAGCTCAGCTCAAGGCTAGATGGCGTTCAGGTCAGAGCAGGACAGGAGGTCGCTCGATACAGAAGGCGCTCAGATGCGGAGGGCGCTTGTGCAGAGGACGTTCAGGTCAGCGAAGGTAAATGAAGCGTTCACCGTTCAAGCCGGTGTAGGTTTTACACCAGGGATAGAGTTGGGTGGTGCGATCAGCCGTGCAGGACACTGCACAGTGTTCAGATCTGAACACATCCATGAGGGTATCGAGTATCGAGTCCAAATCGACTTGGGTATCGAATCCTAACGTCCGATCTGAACACTTTTTAGTTCCTCAATGCTGCTTTATCAAATGGACGTTAAACTTCACAACAGCGTGTTCCAACAACCGATGATTCTGTATATCACAGCCAGAACCGCCACCCACCACCACGAGGACACTCTGGGCGGCCGGTCCTCACCTGGTCGGTGTAGACGAACGTCTCACAGATGGAGAGCCTCTTCTGGCCGAGACCCTCCAGGTGGACCGACACAAACGCTCCCGGCATCGGTGGGTTACAAGGCAGGAACAGCGGCCGGCCCTCCTCAATAACCCCTGTGGGGCACAGGTCAAAGGTCAGTACCTATTGGTGGGTGGGTTACAGGGCAGGAGCGGCGGTCGGCCTTCCTCGATGACACCTGCAGGTCATAGGTCAGAGGTCACGGCTGGTGTTTCATAGCGTCCCTAGCGAGCTTTGGCTGACCTGGGGCCCAGGCTGGTCACGTGATGGAGCGGAATTAAGATTGACCTTCCGATTTACGGTGATCCCTGTTAGTTTATAACGGTGAGGTTGTTTGTTTCAGTAACCTATATTTCATCAGCACTTGTAATGGAGTAGCTGTAACCGTAGAAAGATAACATTGCCCACGGCATATAACGATCAAAAGCACAGCAATCATTGCACCTCTTGGAGTACCGTTCCAAATCAGCGATCACCGGCACCGCAATTCGCACTATGGGCGCCGCTGATCAGTTCCCTGGGGGTCGAACGGAGTCGAGACGCGTCTAGATTCCCCGATATAGCTCCCGGGGCCCACGATGGAAACGCACCGATGCACACAATAACGGGCGTAAGCCGCTGCAAGCGCTTCCAGGACGCCGTCTAACCAGAGGCTCGTCAATTTAGATATCAGGCGATTGGTTAACGCCCGTTCGATCAGCAGTGTTCGGCCGGGTCCTACAGCGGGCGTGGTCACGGTTGGGTTCGCGGCGCCGACAGGCACGCGGCCGGAGGGCGCTCCGAGTCGGCGGGTCGCGCACAGGGCGGTGACCTGAAGGTCGCGCGGGCCGGGGTCGGGTCACTGACCTGTGTACCGATTGCAGATGGGGTTGGTGAGTAGGTCGGGCCGATTGTTGCCGACGCGGACGACCACCGTGGCTGGCAGGTTGTGCTCTGCGGGCGGAGATGAGCCGTGAAATACCAACTTTACGCTGCACTGGACCGGAAATGGCACGCTCCACATGTGCGACAACATGGTGCGCCGACTGGAGCGTGGGTGACTGCTCGGGGGCGACCGGCGAGGCGCTTCTTCAAAAGACGGGAAGGGAAATCGGCATGACATGGCAAACGCATGGTTGAGTAGTGTTTTAGCTCGCAACAATACGCACTCGAGACTATGCTTTTATGACCGACTGAAAAGTCGAGGCGCTCCGGCCCAGTGCCGTACGCCTCTCACACTACGACCCTCTCACACCCAGCCTCCTATCACCCCTTTCTCACTCACCGCAGCAGGCCTGTCCGAAGTCGATGCGCACCAGCTGGATCATGAAGGGCTCCAGCAGGTTGACGTACCACAGCGGCGTCGCCTCCGGCTGGGTCATGGTGCACGTCTGCGAGCTGAACAGTCCGCTGGTGCTGCCGTCCACGGCCTTCTGGGGAATGCCGTCCTGGTGGGTGGTAGACTGCATCGGCGCCTTCCCCGCTGCCACGTTGATGACTGTTGAACGGGAGAGGGGGTGTGAGGTGAGGTGTGAGGGTCACCCGACAGAACGCATGGGATGTGGAGTGTGGGTCCAGGTCCCGGTGGAGGTTGACAGTTGGAAGGATGGCTGAAACCTGCGGTCCCACTTGTTCGATCGACTGCCATCGTATGAGCTGACCATTGGGGGCGGGGTGGGCTGTCGCTACTGTCGAAGACTCGGAAAGGATGAGAAGAAACCCTGTTGTGAGACATAGAACGTGGCTCATTGATGAGAGGATGAATAATAAAAAATGGCGTTACGTATTATAGAGCTAGGTGTGATTTCATTGAAAGAATGACGACATCGCATTGCGTCGTTCCACGGTTCCCGGTGTCAATTTCACGCCAGCCCGGTATGTTGTAAGCCTGCGGCTCGCTGGTCTGTACGTTTGGCGAATACTGGTCATGGCGCATATGATTGATACGCCCTGTGGGTTGGTTTCGTGTATCGAGTTTCGCCCTCTGTGACTTTCAACATGACCAGGACGTTCTAACCCTGGTGACTTGTCACCGCCGCACTGCTATGGTTTCGCCTCAGTGGAATAAAATGTGCTCCAAGTGAGGAAAGTAACGAAATATAAGCAGCTATCTCCAATAACTAGTCACGCCAGGCTTGGATTCACGCTTGTCAACTGTCACCTTTCCTAGATGCCACGCACGACTGGTTGCACTGCGGCATCTGCACATCCCTCGCTCAGTCCTCTCTGGCACCGTACAATCAGCTGCAGCGGACTCTGCGTCCTCACCGCATGACCGCGGCGCGTGCACTCTGCAGGCGCACGGGTGAGCGGCCGTGCATGCCAAGTCACCGCTCCGGCGGGCCCGGCACCTGTCTGCCGTTTGTCACCCGGGCGGGCCGGGGAGCAGCGCGGACCGCTCATCACTGGGTGTCTCCCTCGCTGGCAGTCCTAGGGAGTCGTATAAACCCTTCCAGCAGGGAGACTGGAGAGGGGACCGCGCGGGGATAACCTGTTTTCGCATAGGCGTAGGAACAGGGGGGGCCAGGTGGGCAAGTGCCCACCCACTTTTCGAGGTGGGGGGGCCAACCATGTGTTTTGGCCCACCCACTTTTTACTCGAGGCCCCTCGTCTCGATTTGAGAGGACGTCGTCACCTTCCAGAATCTCGGTAAAAATAAGTTCCACGAATCCCCACGCACGGACTCCAAGGGGCCGTGATGGATCCAAGGAGGCCCTCTGTTCATACTTGTCAGTCGAAGTCCCTGAGACTGATGGCCTGAGAGGCCCTAGTGGATCTGAGGAGGCCCCAATTTCCACACTGGTCTGGGGAGGCCCCTGACACTGGCGGTCTGGGAGGCCCCTCTATCCACACTTGTCAGAGGTCTGAGACTGGTGGTCTGGGAGGCCCCTCCATCCACTTCCACACTAGTCAGAATAAATTTAGGCCCCTGACACTGGCGGTCTAGCCGAGGCCCCCTACCCTCACTAGTCAGAGGAGGCCCCTCTATTCTCAATAGTCATAAGAGGCCCCTGAGAATGATGGTCTGGGAGGCCTATCCATCTACACAGTAGTCAGAGGAGGCCCCTGAGACTGATGACCTGAGAGGCCCTTATAATCACACCAGGCAGAAGAGGCCCATGATACTGATGGACTGAGAGGCCCTTCTATTTATACTGGCCACAGGAGACCCCCAAAACTTTCGGTCTGGGAGGTCCCTCAATCCGGCACCAGTCAGAAGAGTCCCCTGAGACTGATGGCCTGGGAAACCCTTATATTCACACTAGGCAGAGGAGGCCCCTGAGACTGATGGTATGAGAGGCCCTCATATTCACACCAGTCAGAAGAGGCCCCCGACGCTGATGGCTGTGAGGCCCTTCTGTTCATATAACTGGCCACTGGAGGCCCCTGAAACCGGTGGTCTGGGAGGGCCCTCTATCCACACTAGTCAGAAGAGGCCCCTGAGACCGATGGTCTAAAGAGGCTCTTATATTCATACTGGCCACAAGAGGCCCCTGAGACTGATAGGCAGAGAGGTCCACTCCTAATGAATCTGAGGGGGCCCTCTATCCACATTTACACTTTTCTAGGGAGGCCCTCGAGACTGAGAGGCCCTTTTATATATACTGTCCACAGGAGCCCCCTGAGATTAATGGTCTGAGAGGCTCTTCTATTTATACTAACCAGAGGAGGCCCCTAGGATTGATAGTCTAACAGGCCCTTCTATTTATACTAGCCAGAGGAGGCCCATGAGACTGATGGTCTGAGAGGCCCTTCTATTCAAACTAGGCAGATGAGGCCCCTGAGAATGATAGTCCGAAGAGCCATGCGGCGGCAACTGACCGTGGCCCTATTTCGGCTCGGTAGGGCCCCACAGAGCTCATGAGAGCACCTCAAGGGCTCCTGCCTCCTAAGTAGACACGCTTATCCCCACGTGCCACGCCGGCTTCTGAAGGCTCCTTGTAGGCATCTAAGGGCCCTTTCCGGCCTCTAACGGCTCCACCCGCCTGTGATGGCTCCACACCAGTGTTTATGAGCGCCACACAGCGGCGTCTTTGAGGGTCATACTAGTGTCTCTTAGGGCCCTATATCGGTGGCTCTGGGGGCCCCACACCGGCGCCTCTGTGGGCCACCACACCTGTGCATCTCAAGGCTCTATAGGTACAGTCCACAGCAGAAGTAATGTGGGGTTTCAGTCAGGGTTTCGGAGTCGGAGTCGGAGTCGGAGTCGGAGTCGCCCGGAGTCGTGGCAAGCAGCCAGGAGTCGGAGTCGGAGTCGGAGTCGGTCAAGCTGCCTCGACTCCGACTCCGGAAAATAACTAGAATCTGTGATATCACTTTTCAGTTTTTTTTTTTTACCAGTTGCCCGCGGTAGAATTCGCTTCCGGCTATAGAAATTGCACTCATCTTGATTTTGTTCTAAATGACAAATATTGGATCTCACAAGTTTCAAGTTATATCATAATTTAGTAGCCAAGTATTTTGCATGCCTGTTATAACTTCCACTATCTGAAGTATTTGACGAGTCAAAGACAACTGTATTTTTATTTTCTTCTTTTATGCTCCGAAAAGTATCAACACATAGAAATGACCGACATGATGGCGATGCTCGTGTTCGTGATACGGTCGCCTCTCGCGCTTCCCGGCGGGTTTCCACGCTGACCGCTGACCTCTTGTGGATTCAGCTGCGTCCACGTGGGAGAAATGGTGACTGCATGAAGGAAACCGGAGAGTAGGAGCGGTCTCCCCGTGCACATAGACCTAGCACGTGGCGTCACATCACGCAAAATTTTGGCGGCCGCCATTGCCATTCTTATCAGACCCGGAGTCGGAGTCGGAGTCGGAGTCGGAGTCGGAGTCGGTCAGGAGCCCGGAGTCGGAGTCGGAGTCGGAGTCGGAACAGCGCTACCACGACTCCGAAACCCTGGTTTCAGTGATGGGTATGTTCTGCTTCTGAAGCTTAGGAACGATTAGCCAGACTACCTTGAAACTTTGAATGTAGCTTATATGTATCGTCACCCTTGCAGCTGCAACTTTAGCTATTGACATCCTCTTTTCGATCACTCCGCATTAAACAATCGCCAGTCAAAGCCAACCGTTGAGATTGGCAAAACCCTACATTACTTTAGCGGTGGGCTGTACATCTGAAGGACCCACACCGACACCTCTGAGGGCCCCAGACCAGTATCTCGGAGCTCGGAAGGCCCCACACCGGTGACTCTGAGGACTCACTGGCTCCTGAGAGCACCATGTTGATGTCTAACGGCTCCACAAGGCCACTGAAGGCACCACACAAGCTCTCACTGAGCTCTTATGTCCATGTACCGGCCTCTGAGGGATTTAAGCCAGCGCATTCATAGCTCCACACCAGCAATTGTAAGGGCTTCACACTGAAGTATCTGAGGGTTCCACACCGTTGTCTCTAAGGGCCACATACCGGCACCTCTGAGGGCCCATACCGGCATCTCTGAGGGCCCCATACCGGCGTCTCCGAGGGTCCACATCTGGCGGGCACCCATCAGCGACTGAAGGTCCCACACTGTCGACTCCGAGAGCCCCATCTGCGTCTGGGAGCAACATGCCGTCTCTAAGAACCACAGCGGCTCCTCCGTACGAAAGATGGGCGTCTCCATGCCAAAGGGGAGCGGTTCTGAGACAGTAGGGCACCTACGTGCAATAGAGGGGCGCCTATGAAGCCTCAATGCGAAAGAGGTGCGCCTCTGAGGCCTACATATATGGGCGTCCACATGCAATAGAGGTCTGCAAATTGCAATTGATCAATGCCATGGGGGTGCATTCATAAGAAACAGGGGCGCCGGCATGGCAAAGAGAGGTGCCTTCAAGTTCCCATAAAAGAGAGACGCCTATGATAAGCGCACATTGTATGCGACAATGGGGCGACTGTGGGACATATAGGAATGTCTCTGATGACTATGCATAGGGCGCTTATATGCCAAAGAGGGCGCCTATGAAGCTAATGGGGGCACCTGGGAAACGAGGAAGACATTTGTGTAAGGGTTTTCAGGGGTCATGCGCCGTTTGCGGCAAATACATTCTTAAAAAAAAAAAATCGGAGGGGGAACAAGTTTTAAAAATGGTGCGGACTTTCTGCACTATTCGCTTAAGCGGTTACGCCCCTGGGAACATCTGCCCAATCTCAGAAGCTAGATTTGGAGGTCATACTTGAAAGCAGCCAGCAGGACGAGACAAAAGTTGGAGGCCCCTGAAAATAGGAGGCCTCCTGGAAAAGGAGGCCCCTTGACAGGGTGGCCCACCCACTTTTCATGACGTTCCTACGCCCGTGGCGCTCAGGATCGCTTTGCTGGGACAGCCGAGTTGTCATGGTCAATTATACCATAAATGACATAATTCATGACCAACTTTGACAACCTTGATGCCTTATTTCCTATTGGACAGCTGTAAGGGCATGTGACGTCATCAAAGATAACCAGACGTTTTTTTTTTGCTTATAAATCCTAACAGAAAAAGATGCAGCCGCGCAAATGGTTTCATTGTGTT